TTGGACGGCGGGCGTGGAGGGGGGGACGGCTGAGAGAAAGAAGGGACGCTCAAACGTCGAAGAGTTCGACGATGAGCAGCCGGGGGGGGGGCAGCAGCAGCCTGCAGGCGCGCAGGGCCAGAGCGCGGTGGGCGGCCGTGGCGAACCACGGTGGCAAGGGTGGCGGGAGGGAGGCTGCCAGCAGCTGGAGCTGGAACGACGCCGAAACAAGGTGGCAGCGGAAACGGAGGCAGGGACCGCTGGCAGGGACCGACCAGGGAGGGAGGACGCTTCTGAAACGGAGCGCCAGTTCTGGAGCCCGACGAGACGGGGGCAGGCTCCGAGGCCCCAGAAGCCGCGGCGAGGAGCACGTCCGCCGGTAGGGACCAGACGAACTGGCTCAGGTCGGGCGTTGGCAGAACTGGGTTGAGTGGAACCTGGTTTAGTGATTTGTACCGGGGTCGCACCCCCGCCCCATTTCCACTAACCGGAACTGCCATCACCCGGAAAACACCAGTTACGGCAACACCCGTGAATCTGGCCAATTGAAGGGGCCCCAGGGCCCTACCACTGACCGGGTCCTCTTACCCGAGGTCCTGGCTATACCCGATCAGGAAAGTCCTGAGGGCCAGCGGAGTGCCTGGCGAGCCCCGCAGCCGGCGCGTGCTGAGTGGCCCCCATGCGCCAGGTCGCGCTGACGCAGCCCGTATTCGCCAGGTCGCGCGCGGCGACGGGGAAGGCAGCGTCCAGAAGGGTGGAACAGCCTGGGAGAAAGCAGAGCCAGGCGCTCGTCGCCAGCGGCAGCGCAGGCGACGGCCACGGTCGCCTGTCCAGCGGTGGGCCTCTGATGATGATGATGATGAGGAGGAGGAGGAGGAGGAGGAGGCGGAGGAGGAGGAGGAGGAGGAGGAGGAGGAGGACTAGAGGAGGACGAGGAGGAGGAGGAGGAGAAGGAGAGGAGGAGGAGAGAGGAGGAGGAGGAGGCGGAGGAGGAGGAGGAGGAGGAGGTCCGCCGACCGCGGCCGGGCATTGGCGGTGGCGGGGCCCTGCGCGCGCCGATGGCGTGCTGGGGCGTGGGCGCACCTCGGGGGCAGGGGCAGGGCCGGTGCTGCGGGACGGCGGGCGACGCGCACCTGGGGCCGGCTGGCTCATTACTCCCGGGCCGGCCGCGGGTCGTGGGCCTGGGGGGCGGCCTCGTGGCCGCCAGAGGCCTGCGGGGAGCGAGGGGAGGCCAACGGGAGGAGGGCCCGAAGCTGCGGGGCCCGTCGCGGCTCGCATCGTGCCAGGCGGTCCTGAGCGGGGAGTGCTCGGCGCTCGCGGGGGGTGCGGGCTCCCTGGACCGGGGGCCGGCCACCACCGCGGGGGCGGGTCGGCGGGGAGCAGGGGGGGCGTCGCGCCTGACGAGGCGGAAGCCCCCCCCTGGCGGCACCCAAGGTGCGTCGTGCGACAGGCGCTGGCGCGTCGGGAGACGTGCCAACAAACCGCCCGCACCTGCACGGGTGTGGTCTCGGAGATCCAACGCCGCGCTCTTTTGAACATGGGGTCCCCGGAAGTCTCGACCCATTCCCCAGGACCGTTTTTTCCTCCTGAGCCGTTTTTTGACGGCCCCGGGGCCCAGCGAGGGTCCCTATGGAGGCCGAGCACGGCGCAAAACCACCGTCTTGACTCTTCCACTCCGCTGGATCTCTGGGGAGGGGAGCCCCGCGCGAAGAGAAGGGCGCCGGCGGTACACGTGACGGGGCAGAGCGCCGGGAGATGAACCAGCCATCCTCAGGCCACGCGTCGCCGGGGGGGCTGCCACCCGCCGGGCCCGGCGCGCTGAGGAGGCGCGGAAGGCCTCTCGGGGGCTGCGGCGACCCACATCGGCCTGCGGGGGCGCCCGGGCCCCCACGCGTCGACCACCGTTGGCGAGAGCGGGGGCCCGGCAGTCGCGTTAAAATCAGGGCTTGCCCAGGTCGGCGGCGCAGAGGAGGAGATTCCACCACCCCTGCGTGCGTCTCCGCTCGACAAACATAGGCGGCGGCCGACAAAAGACACGGATTCGGCAGCTTTTGCCGAACGGGCCGGGTCAATTGAATATTCAAGTGATCTGTGACCTGGCCAATAACCGAACGCCTGTCCCCTTACACAGCCTAACACATGCCCGAATGGACATAACAAATAACCGAACCAGAACACTAACACATAACCAAACACACACACAACGCACAACTTACAACATAAGCAAGCATCTAGCCGAACATGCAACTCACGGCGTACAGACGGGATGAACTAACCTCCAAGACATTACATCACATCAGATAACATACCCTAACACATACCCCCACGCATCACGCATAACCGAACATAATCAGCTACCTCACACACATCACATAGTCTAGCACATAATCTCACATATAGCACAACCATCTACGCAATAGCTTGCAGCATCTTCGATTGCATTGTGCTACTTTGCGGGGCTTCGAATGCGATTGCATTGGTTGGTTCTACCTTGCCTCGCTACGTGTTCGCAATCAGTTCCGATGTGCGTTGCCTGCATTGCACTGCGGCGTTTTGTACGGCTGGGCTGCCACATTCACCAAATCACGCCGAGCTTGGGCCAACGTAGAATATCAATGTAGCCGCCACTTTGTGGCTCAAGCTGGGACTTCTGGCAGCACGGCTGCCGCTCGGGAGCCACGGGCACACCTCCAGAGGCGAGCGTCCTCGCCATGGCACGCCGGCTGTTCCCTGCCCCGGCCCCGACCATCCGAGAAGGCTTGCGCCAGGAAGGCAGCTCGAGAACGCCCTTCTGGCGTGCGACGCGGGGAAGAGGTGCAAATTCAAAGCTGCTTCCGTGACAGACTGCACCATCGGCATGGCGCAGGCAGTCAAGATGCTCTGGATGGTCCCAACGAGTTCCGCGTCTCGGAGGCGGTGCTTTTTTTTTGGGGGGGGGGGGCGGCGCACTCCGAGGCGGACGTGATCACGAAGGCTCTCGAGCTTCTGACGCACCTCCCCTGGGACACGAGCGATGAAATCAAGGAGAATGCCGACCCGACTACAGTCAGCCCGTGTCAAAAGGATGCGCGGTGAGGAGGCATGGGCCTCAGAGGCCTATGTGAACGCTTCTCGAACGAGGCTGGCCAGCGAAAGTGGCCAAGGATGGGCCGAAGGGGCAAGGATGCAGGGGTACCCTTGGGAGGGTAGCCCATCCTTCTTATGCGGGCTGGCTGTACCAACAGAACAGCTGAGAATGTTCGGACTGGAGAAACATCACTGCACCGACCTTGCAGACGTGCTGCAGCGGATTTTTGCGTGGACCTCTCAATGCAAAACCCCGAAATGGCGAGCGAAAAACGAAGTGAATTCCACGTGGATTTTGTTAGGCTTCATTCCTGGCCAGACAAAGAATCCGCGAGGAGTTCACGTCGAAATCCGGAGCGACATCCTCCAGGACACTCCGGGCACATCCTGTCGCTTTTTGAACGAGATCCGCTCTGCGATGCTGGCGCCATGAAAGAAACACGGCAGAACATAAAACAGCAGCGCGGACCAATCCTGCGCCGCAGAAGCAATACGCGGATGGGGGCGGGGGCGCGCCGCTCTGACGACGTCTCCGGGGGAAAAGCGAGAGGGGAGCAGCCCTCCTCTGGGTGCACTTGGCCAACGAGGATCAGACGGGAGGTCGTGGGGACTTCTGCTGGGTCTTGGAGCGGCTGTGTAGATCGGGTCGGGCGAAAGGGGGGGATAGCAAAGGGGGGGTTTGAGAAGCAGCTCACGTAGCTGATTTTTTCGCGGCGCCTCCCGGCGCCGGAGGCGGCCAGTATCGAGGAATGGGCCCCTCGGTGAGGCCGAAACCAGCTGCATGCAGCAAATTTCGTAACCCCCCCTTTCCCAATCCCCCCCTTTCGCCCGGCCCGAATAGAGACCTCCCAAACGGGGTCGGAGTAATTAGATGGGGTCGGAGGATGGCACCGCATCGCCGGTACATCGGAAATGCACCGGCGATGCATCGGCGACGTCGACGTGAAGCAAATCGAGCTCCACATCCAGCCGCACCGGCGATGCATCAGCGATGCGGCGCGACCCTGCGACCCCATGAAGTCGGACCCCATCTGGGAGGCCTGGAGACTGGGAGGGAGGCATCGTAGAGACGGCTCGAGGCAGCGAAGGAGGAGGAGGAGGAGGAGGAGGAGGAGGAGGAGGAGGAGGGAGGAGGAGGAGGGAGGAGGAGAGGAGGAGGAAGGAGGAGGAGAGGGAGGAGGATGAGAGGGGGGGGGGGGGGGAGGGAGGAGGAGGGGAGGAGGAGGAGGAGGAGGAGGAGGAGGAAGGAGGAGGAGGAGGATGAGGAGGAGGAGAGGAGGAGGAGGAGGAGGAGGAGGATGAGGAGGAGGGGGAGGAGGAGGAGGGGGAGGAGGAGGCGGGGAGGGAGAGCGGAGGAGGAAGTAGGAGAGGAGGAGGAGGAGGAGAGGAGGAGTGAGGAGGAGGAGAGGAGGAGGAAGGAGGAGGAGGAGGGAGGAGGAGAGGAGGAGGAGGAGGAGGAGGAGGAGGAGGAGGAGAGGAGGAGGAGGAGGGGAGGGAGGAGGAAGAGGAGGAGGGGGAGGGGGGAGGAGGTGGAGGAGACCCCTCGTGCCTCGTGGATCGAGGGCCCGGGTCTTGCCAGCTGCCGCTGCGGCTCGGCCCTCCGCGCTCGGCCTCTCCGCGCCCGGCCGCGGCGGCGAGCAGGGCCCCCGCGGGCCACCGGACCGGCGACGGCGACGACCACGGCGGCGACGAAGGTGGCGGCTGGCGTTAAGTCGGGCCTGTCCCCCCACAGAAGGATTTTCTACGAAAAATGAGAGAAAAAAAAAAGCCCCAAGAATAAAAAAAAATAGTCCCAAAAAATAGTCCAGGGACTCTTTTGTGACTATTGTTTGACCGTTTGGGGGGCATTTTTGGGGTATCTTTTATCTTTCGTCGAAGATGCCCCTGTAGGGGGACGCGCCCGACTTAAGGCTGGCGACGGCGGCGGCAACGACGACGCCGCCCCGCGGGGAGTCCCTCGTGGTGTAGTCCGGGTGGCAGATGCGCTCCGCCGCGCGGCGTGCGCGCAGCCAGTCCGTCTTGCGGCCGGCGGACGGCGACGACGGCGGGGCGGCCGCTGCGGCGAGGAGGGCCGACGACAGCGACGCTGATTTTGGCCTGGGGTTAGAGGGCAGAAAATCCCCCCCTGTAATAATCACCCGGACACGCGAAGCCGTTTCGTAAACGCGCACACACACTTAAGGAATCGAACAGGGGGCATGGCTGTTCAGTAGACGCCTAGGGCCGTTCGGTAAAGGACAGTGATCGGATACGGATGGTTTTTCCTCTCTTGATGGGTGGCTCCGCTTGAGAACGACGACAAGAAGCGGGTCTGACAGGTGGAGGCACAGCAACCTTGCGCCGTGGCTTGCGCGGGCCGCTGGCGTGGCACTGTGCGTGGAAGAGAGGTCGCCTACGCAAGACCTGACGCAAGAAGATGGCGCGCCCATGTCCGCGCATTCGAGTCCCCGTTTTTCCCGCTTCGCTCAGTTGTCACCACGTCCAACGAGGTTCGAGAGACGGGTCGGGGTGGTGCCCAAGAGGGGTCTGCGGATCTCGCTGTTGAGCCGATTGTTGCTGTCATCCTCGTCGCGATTGCCGTTCTGGGCATCCTCGTGGGCACTCGCCACCGCGGCCGCACTTGCCTCGGGATTCTGGTCAGAACGCGCTCTGGTGTCAGGGGGTCGACATGGACGGGGAAGGGTCGTCGACAACGTCGTCATTGGCGTCGGCCTGATCCTCCTCACCCGCCATGTTTACTCCTCCTGTTCTGCTCCTCCTCGTCCTCCTCCACATTCTCCTCTGGGGGCCGACGAAGGGCAGCGACGAGGGGGGAGTGGGCACGGAGGAGTCTAAGCAGAAGAGAGGAGGTGAAGGTGAAGGTGCGGGGACGATGATTCGGGGGATCGTCATGCAGAAGAGGATCTGGATGATCAGGAACACTGGGGCTCGATGGCCGCGAGCCTCTGAGAGTCGCGTCGTCGGCACATCCAGACTCCCCTCGGATTTCTTGCCTGAGCGCACCCCAGGAAGGGGTCGGGCGGGGGGGGGGGGGCATTTTTGAGGGCGTGCGATGCGGACGAGGAGGTAACCGGCGAAAAGGCCTGCTTTCCCAGCATCAGCTTGCCCAGCAGCAGCTCGTCCGACTCGCGCATGGTCAACGCCCTCCCGGACCCACCCTCTGCGGCGGAAGGGCGAGGAGGCGGCGGAGAGGAGCAGGAGCCGGGCAGAACGGGGAGGCGGATGAGGAGGAGGCGGGGAGGGCGGGGGCAACGAACAGGGGCACGGGGATGGGACGTGGAGGGGGAGGTGGAGGAGGGAGTGGAAAGGGGAATGTGGAGGGGGAGGGAGCGGGGAACGGGGAGGAGGACGTGCAGCAAAAGGGCGCGTGGCGCCCTCGTGTCTCCGGCCTGCGACCGGGCCTCGCCTCGCGGGGCGTCGCAGAGTCGTCTTCGGGCCACTGGCGGGAGGGGGGCAGTCGATGAGGACAAGGCCGGAGGAGCCAGGAAGAGCTCGGGGAGGCAAGGGAGGCGGGGGGAGGAAGTGAGGCAGGAAGGAGGAAAGCAGGAGGAGGAGGAGAAGGAAGAGAACCAAAACGTGCCGCTGACGCTACCTCCCGCTGCAAATGCCACGTCACAAACCACCACAAGCCTTTTGCTCCTACCGCGGCGGCCGCCCGCTGGAGAGGTTAGGATTCCATGGGGCGGCCCGCACGGTGGGAGTCCTGTGTGGCTTGCGATGTGCGCCAAAAGATAGATTGAGGTACGACCGCGCAGCGTTGCGAGGTCAGCGGGAGGCTATAGATGCGAGGACATCGTCCTGCATACGCGCAGCTTGTGGACACTGTAAAGGGAAATGCGCGCGGAGTCGGACCGAGGAAGATTTCGAAGAGACACCGCCCTGTCCGTACACGTCGTTCATGTCTAATCGTGCTCATTTCAAATTGTGCTCAATTCTAATTGCTCCTGGCCCCCTGGTAGCCAGGAAGAGGCCCAGGAAAGAACAATTAGAAATGAAAGGATCTTGGCCCCCCAAAAATCAAAGAACGTTCCTTGATGTGGCCCGCGAGAGCCAGACTTTGAAGATGGGGACGCACACAATATGTGCAACCTTTGGCTCAACCTTCGTAGGGCTGAATAACTATCAGACGAACGCCTCATTGAAAAAAATTGAACCGTTTTCATCCGTGTAGCTGCTGGAAGGCTTTTCTATAGCAGCGCGCGCGGGGCTGAGGCGAAAACCGCATTTCAAGAACAAACCGCCCGCCATCCGTGCAATTGGTGAGAACGATTGGGATACATAAGCATGGCGCTGGGGCGAAGGCAAGCCTGCGACTGCGAAACAAAAGCAACATCGGCCCACGAAGCCGGGATGGGATATAGAAATGTGAAGCACGGCGTCGTTTCCAAGACGTGGCACTTCGGCGACGGGCAATTACAGCGCTCAAGGCAACAATCGTGATGTGCCGTGCCCCAGGCTGTGATGCACTGTGCCGTGCTGTGCTGTCCTGTGCTGAATCCAATGTGTCGCGCCGCGATGAACCGTGCCGCGCGCTACTGCATTGTGGATCAAGCTCCTTGACGTCAGGATCCTGGGCGCGTCGCTCGAGACATCCCCAACAAATCCTCATGCTGAAGATCCGCCTGGGCGACGCGGAAAAAGAGTGGAACACACGTTGGTCCCTTGCGCGCCGGGGCGGAGCAATTGTGGAAGCACGCGGGCCCCTTTCGCGCCAGAGCGGAACACAATGCAAACACGTAGGTCCCTTGCGCGCCAGAGCAGAACAATTGTGGAAGCACGTGGGCCCCTTTCGCGCCAGAGCGGGACACAATGAAACTCGTTTTCGCCCCAGCGCGGGATACGTGTGAAAACACGTGGGTCCCAGAGCGCAACACACGCACAATTACGTGGATCCCTGCTCGCCCCAGCGCGGACCAACCGTGAAAGTACGCTGGTCCCTTTCGCCCCAGGGCGGCGGAACACGGTGAGGAGATCCCAGGGCTCAGAATCCTCGCAGCTGTCGCGTTCTGGGGAAGGCACAACACACGGAATGATGTCCAGAAGCTGGGGGTCCTCGCAAGAGCTGCGCCCTGGAGGGAAGCGACACACGCGCGAGGAGGCCGAGAGGCTCAGCATCCTCGCAGCTGTGGCGTTCTGGGGAGGGAGCCAACACGCAGGATGGTGTCGAGATGTCCCGAGAAGCTCGGAATCCTCGCAGCTGTCGCGTCCTGGAGGGTGCGGAGCACACGAGAGGAGGTCCAGAAACTCAGGATCCTCGTAACTGTTGCGGTCTGACGGGGGGGAAGGGTGCCAACACGCCCGGAGGAGGTCCTGAGGCTCATAGTCCTAGCAACTGTCGCTTTCTGGAGGCGGCGGAGCACACGGGCGGAGGCCCAGAGGCTCGGAACCTGTCGCAACTGTCGCATCCTGGGTGGGCGCCACGTGGGCCCCTGCACCCCAGAGCGCAGCAAGCGCGAAAGCACGCGGGCTCCGCTCGCCCCGGGAGCGCAGCAGGCTCGCCCCGGAGCGGACCACCCGGGAAGACACGTGGGTCCTCTTCGCCCCAGGGCGGGACGAGCGCGACAGCACGGGGCCCCTTCTCGCCCCGGGGCGCAGCAGGCGCGGAAGTGCACGGGCCCCTCCATCTCCAGAGCGGAGCAGGCGTGAAAGCGCGTGGGGGCCTGTCGGCCCAGAGTGCACACGAGCGTGAGCTCGCGTGGGCCCCCATCCAGGGAAGCCCCAGGCGGCCTCCCCAGGCCCTGCAGACGGAACGTGCCAGGTGATTCTGCATCCAGTGCCCGTGCGTGGAGTCTGCTCTGCTTCCGCGCCCTGCCTCACAGTTGGGAGGTAGAGGCCGCCCCTGGGTGGCCAGGCTGCGTGACAACACGTGGGTCCCTCTGGGCCCAAAGTGGAGCATTAGCGTGAGACTCGCGTGGGTCACCTTCGCTCCAGGCGCAGCAGGCGTGAGCACACGTGGGCCCTCTTCGCCCCAGAGCGCAGTAAACACGAAAACACGGGGGCCCCTTTCGCCCCAGAGCGCAGCAAGCGTGAAACCACGTGGAACCTTTCCGTCCCAAAGCGGAGCGAGCGCACGGGAGTGTTCTTCACGCTTGCCCCGCCCTGGGGCGAAAGGGACCCACGTGTGTTCATTCTTGCTCTGCTCTGAGGCGAATGGGACCCACGTGGTTTCACGCTTGCCGCGCCCTGAGGAGAAAGGGGCCCATGTGTTTTCACGCTTGTTCCGCCCTGAAGCGAAAAGGAATTGGGCGAAAGGGACGGCCTCGCCACTTCTCCAAAACAAGCGCTTCACTCGAGACATCCTCAAGGTTTCTGCTCGCAGGACGCGCCATCCTCGTGCGGGAACGCAAAACATCGACATGTCCATATGTGTTGGAAAATATTAATTATGGTCTCCAGACCAAATTATTAATCGCGGAGTCCGCGGAAAACGATCCGCACCCGTTTTTTCACGAACGGGAAAGGAAGGTCAGCGGACCTCGTTATTGATCGAAGATCCGACATGGGGCGTCCGCTTTCCTCGAGCGGGGACGCGCGAAACGCATTAGTTCCGCGCAACATGCGGCTTTACCTTGTCACATATGTAATGGAATTCCGCCGGCCACCCCCCAACATGGCACCCGGGACACATGTACAAACTAAAAGAAAGCCCTGGGCCCCGCCCCGCCCTTTCCGGGAACTGGCCGCACGCCATCCGAGAAGCCACTGGACTGTTTCGAGACGGACGTGTCCTGTGCCACAGCGAGGGCCGCATCTCGAAAGTCAGCCACCCTCAACCCGCGCAGATGCCACACACTTCTGGGGCGGATGCTCGCGGCGCTCAGCGAGAGCCACACCGTCATCTGGTGAGCAGGCAGGCCATCGAAGAGACGCATCGGGCCGATGCCCGAGTCGGCAAGCGTCCTGTCTTCCATCTGCCCCTGCCGCCTGACGCTGCCCTTCCCCTCCTCCTCCTCCCCCCCTCTCTCCCTCTCCCCCTCTCGTCCTCTCAACCCCTCCCCGGGCTTTTTGCCACCCTGCCCCTCCAGCTCCTCGTCCCCCCTCCCCCTCGTCGCCCCCCCTCCCCCCCCCCCCCCCCCGCGGTCTTCGGCGGGGCGACGCGCGCGCTGTCTGTGGTGATCATCTTGCCCACCCCGCGGGAGTCGTAGGTGTCCACCCTGCCCACGCTCGCGTCTTCGCAATCCTGCGCGTTGAGCAGGGACCGACCGACCCGGCATTTCTATAGGCCTACCACGAGATGTTCTTAGAACCCGGAAATGTCCCAAGAACAAAAGAACAGGGTTCTTAGAACAGAGACCCGAGGTGCTAAACCGAGGCGGCCCCAGCCAGGAGTGCTCTAAGAACATGTTGTGGACACCACAAGAGGTTCTTAGAATATTCTATTGGTAGGCCCATCGGCGACCAATCGAATGTTCTAAGAGGAGGAGGCGGAGGAGGAGGGCAGCGGAGGAGAAAGGAGGTGGAGACACGAGGAGGAGGAGGAGGAGGAGGAGGAGGAGGGGGAGGAGGAGATGAGGAATGTAGGATGAGGAGAAGAAAGGATGAGGAGGAGGAGGTAGACCCAGGAACGCTCCGCCACTGCTTGAGCGCGGGCGCGAGGGCGGCGGAGAGGGCCCCGGCGCCGTCGGAGGCCCGCGGAGTGCCGGCGGGGTGCCGTTCTGGGAGGGGGGGGGCCGTCGGAGGCGGTCGGAGGCCGTCCAGTCCCTGCGCCCGCGCCGCCGAAGGATGCCGCCAGGCAGGCACCTCGAGGACCCTCGAGATTGGCAGAGGAGGGGGTGGGGGAGACGACGACGAGGAGGAGGAGGAGAAGGAGAATGAGGAGCAGGGGGAGGAGGAGGAAGGCGGTGAGAAGGAGGAGGGAGGATGGAAGTAGGAGGTACGAAGAGGACGGGGGTAGGTGGAGGGATGGGAGATGAGGAGAGGAGAACGACGAAAAGAGGAGGAAGAGAGGAGTGGAGTTCGAGGGACGATAGGGAGGAGAGAGGAGACAGAGGGAGAAGGATGAGGAGGAGGACGAGGAGGAGGTGGAGGAGGCAGAGGAGGGGGGAGGGAGGAAGGAGGAGACAGTAGACAGGAGACAGGAGGGAGGAGGAGGAGGAGGAGGAGGAGGAGGAGGAGGAGGAGGAGGAGGAGGAGAAGGACGAAGAGCTGGAGTGGGAGGGAGGAGGGAGGAGGGAGGAGGGAGGAGACAGGAGGGAGGAGGAGGAGGAGGAGGAGGAAGAGGAGGAGGAGTAGTAGGAGGATGAGGAGGAGGTTTTTCCCCCGGAGGCCCTCGAGGCAGAACTGAGAAAAAAACCCTGCCTACCCCGAACGACGGGAGGCAGCTGCAGCTTCTTCCCGCGCACGAACGCAAGCCGCCAAAGCCTCCATGCCAGGAGTTGACACGAGGCGCAGGCGGGAGGCCGTCTGTCTACCACCTTGTGTGGCCGCGACCTCCATGACAACATCAGCGGAGCGACGGCAAGGGTCCGTGACACGATTATCATTGTAAAAGTGCGGGTGGAGCCCCTGCTTGATTCGGGAGAGGGTCTGGGATCTCGTGCCCAGCTTCCCACAGCACCGCGTCGCCAGCAAAACACACCTCTTCAAAGAGTAGGCCCCACACCTATAGCAAAACACTAAAGGTTCCTGGGCTTCATTGTCAATCATCGAGCAAGCTAGGAGGTGCCCCCGTTCCTCGGCATCCTTCAGATTCCGAAAAGCAGTGGGGACCCCTTTGCACCCTACCATCGATCTATCCTGATCCCAGGTGATCGAGAAACACTTGGTGCACCTCCATGCTACCCCCGAGTCGATCTCGCACCAGTCGTGCCAACTCGGATCTCTGACAGCCGCCGTCGTCCGAGGGCCTCTGGCAGAGCGACGGAACTCCATCTTGGGGTAGCAGGAGAGCACCGCATCAAACATTCGAACTAAAACTTTCACACGCTTCACGCACACATCAAGAGCCTCGAGGTCTTCAGTCGGGGCCCCTGGGTGAAGTGTCAGTGCGTGCTTGGCTAACCTATCAGCATCAGCATTTCCCAGTGCAATGCGACGCTCCAAAATCGGTAAAGCCACAATAACCTCCTCAGACCTGTGGGCAGGGGTGTAGGAGGCAGGTCCCAGACGGCCCTGAGGGTCGTGTTCCATGGCAAGCCTCCTAAGGCCAGCAAACATCTGCTTTGGGCACAGCTGTTCCCGACGACTCGCATTATGCAGCTTAACGGCACCAGAGCAGTCACTGTGAGGTGTGGCAGGGTGATCTATGACACAGCTGAGCGTGGCTATACCAAGATGCTCCGCCGACTGCGGGGTCTGGAAAAGGGTGGGCCATACTGTGCCCATCATCCGTGCCTGAATCTTGTATTCGGGGCCAGGTGCTAGGAACACAGCCCCGAACGCCGCGCGTTGGAGCTCCTTAAACACCTGCTGAGTTGCTGAGCCGTCAACCACGGGCTCACACCCACGGGTCAGCTCAAGAAAATCTTCAAAACTGATTTCCTGGCCCTCGGAATCCTGAAAGGTCGGGTCGAGGTTCCAGGACGGACCAGGGACCACAGGCTGAGGCACAATGAGCCTCGTCCAGAACAAAAGCTCCTGGGGCTCGGCAGCTTTCACCTGATCAATCAACTCCTGACTGACATACTCGAGCCTCTGTTCAACAAAGGACCAAAAAAAAAAGATCACTTCAAAAATAAAAATAAAAATCAACCCACAATAACAAAACAACACACAAAACGAAAAAACAAACACAAAAAAAACAAAAAAACACACAAAAAAACCAAATCAATTTCACACAAAAAAAACAAATCAAAAAAACATAAACAAACAAAAAGCAAACAAGAAAATACAAACTTACAAGGACACAAGAAAAAATAATTCAAAAAAAAAAAAAACACAAAAAAAACGAAAAACAAAAAAAAGAAAAAAAAAAAACAAAAAATCACAAACAGCCACACTCGGACAGAGCCATTGCCGATGGAACAGGGAGTCGGGTTCCCCACACAAAGGACAGCCCCCCCCGTGGTCATACCCGCACGCTCTCAGCCGATCTCCCGTCCAACAGGCACCTGAAAACACAGCCGAAAGCCAATATTTTTGTCTGGCCGTGGTCTTACGTGAGCGAAATAACTTAGCGACAGGGTCTGGGCAGACTCTGACATCATTGAAATCATCTAAATCGGTGGCCATCTTGCGCTCAAGGGCTCTCTGCACACCAGCCTCGAGCTGCTTGGCCACTAACGCTGGGGAGGTGTACATTAAATCAACCACGCGATCGCGGTCATCTCTCCACAGCGCAAAATTATCTGCACGCCACCCGATACGATGGAGGGAGAGGAGCATTCTGTGCACTGGACCTTTAGACTTACGCCAGACAGTGGGGCCTAACTCAGGAGAGGAACTCGATATTGTACGCCGTATCCGAATGTGATCCCGAAAAGAGAAGTGGGACACCGTGGGCTCCGTGAGGCTCTGCCAGAGGCTGTTCGACCACTGAAGTGCTGGGGCAACCGCCTGACGCCACGCAGGGTCTCCATGAAGCACACACTTCGCTGTCAAACTTGCTCCCCGATGGGCAGGAGACTTGCCTGACATAAGCACTGAACGTAAAGAGGCCAACTCATGATCAGAAGCTCCTAGGACCATGCTGCCGAAACCTGCTGCTGGCCGTACTCCTGCAACATATATCTTGTTAATACGCGTACGGTCCCTGGGAAGCTTCTTCTTATAGTGCTGGAGTAGTCGGCTACGAATTCGCATATCGTGAAACCGTTGCCGCCGCCGAGCTCTAGCCTTCTTAGCCGATAACCCCTGACCAGGTGCTAGGTCCACACCCAGCGACACCGTGGAGTTCGTGGCCGAAGAAGGGCATATTGGCTGAAGTCGCCTGCGCAGCTTGGAAGCTATCCTGCTGGACGACGAAAAAGATACCGCTTTGTCTTCAGCTAGCCGCACACCTAAACGCGTCTGAAAAAACCCACTTCAAATCTTTCGCAGCCTTGACCAAATCATGCATAATAACACTTTCAGGACCATGGGCCGAAACCGTGTCATCGTCGACGTACGATCCCAGACTAACCCCAGGATTCCGGCTAGACCAGAGATCAAACTCGAACATCGCGTAAACCTTCACGAAAACATCATTGAAAATGTCCCCTGCTGGTAAACCGTTTTGCGCAAACTGAATAAGCGGGCAGTGATGAGCTCCCAGACGGAGTACTCTCGGGGACCTCCAGAGGTTGTACAGGACTTTTATGAGAACCGTTGGTATACGCCAGTACATGGCCCGATCCCTCAGCCACAGGAGCCGAAAAGACTCGTAGTACTTCATACCGTCCCAAATGAAACCTGCCGTGTAATCGCCCTTTTCGGAGGTCTCCTCGGCTCTCACACTTTGTTGCCATATCGATACCTCTGCAGACTGCCCCGCACCAAAAGCCCAGCAAGGCCGTTGGGCCCGATCCAGGAAGGCATCAGCCTGAGGTCTCCGAAGTCGCTCCCAAACTCGAACAAACGATCCCAGAAGAAGAATCGGCCTGAGACCTCCTTTGGGCTTCTCCAGTAAAGGCAGCAGCATCCACAGTAGCTGCGCGGGGAAAAGGCCCAGCCGCTCCACGGCCTCGTAGAGCACGGCCAGGCACGTGAGGCCCTCGTCGGAGAGGGCACCAACATGCCGCGGGTGAAATCCATCTAAGCTCTGGGCGGTGTGGCGGCTGAAGCTCAGAGACGCTTTCCGAAGTTCATCAACGCTGGCCCGAGGGAAACATTGACGATCAGGAATCCAGGCTTCGGGTGGCTTCAAGTCCGCTCCCCAGAATCTTCCCAAAGTCTGAGCTTCATCCTCCAGAAGGGCATGTGGATCCGCAGTAAATACTCCAGGCGCACTCTGGATAACTGTCGGCTGCCAAACCTTTTTCAGCTTCGTAAAACGATGCATTATCCGAGCTGAGCCAGCGAGGGCCCGTTCCTGCCAGAGGTCCCACGACTCCCGCTGTATACGATCCCCATCCACCCCAGCTTGCTCATAATCCTCACGAACATCCTCTAACAACTGCTGAGCTAGCTCAAGCCACCCCTGCCGATGGAAGTTGCTGTGGTGTTGCCAGCTCCTCGCCAGAGTGCGCATGGCACGGAGGGAGGCATCCAGGCGCACAGACAGGCCTTCGCCAGGGCAGGAGTCCTGGAGCGATACCTGAAGCTGGATGCAACACTGGACGGCGTCCTCAGTCGCATCTTGCACCGTCAGGGTAAATTCTTGAAAAGACTGGTACAGCCACCTCCAACCAGCAGCGATCTGGAGCTTATCCTCAGGATCCTTCGGGCGAACGCTCGCCCAACTCCTTCGGCTCGAAACCTAAAGTGCGGGTAAGCTCCAGCTCAGCGACGTCCACAAACTGCGCCCATGCATTATTCAAAACCCTCCAGGCCACCGTGGCCTTCTCGTGCATGGCCCAAGCCGCTGCCTGCGCAGCATGAGCAAGAGCGCCTTGCCACGCTGGTGGTTGAGGCCGCGGTCCAAAAGGCACATCGACAGGTAGACGCTGATAGCTACGGTACACTAGCTGCCTGAGGGAAAGAGCATCTGCACGAACCTTGAGTTGGACAGGTCTGTGGGGCTTGACGTCCCAAGACATGACAGCTGCAACTCCAGAGATCAATCTAGACAAACCGGGACCCATGACGAAGAAATCTATAATTGTGTTCGTAGACGGAGTACGACACGTGTGCTCAATCGGCGCCAAAACCAACATCCCCAGCTTGCGTGGAACTCCAGAGGCCTCCAGAACCTGTGGGGTGAGGTTCCAGTCCCCCGCCAGGATCGTATGAGTTGGGTCATTCACCTGCTTACCTATCTTCGCAATCATCTGTACGTTGGCCTCGCTGAGGCCCTCCGAAGTCTTCAGATAGACCGAGAAAACCGTCACCGTGGGCCACCCAGGGAAATCCACCAGGACCTTGATCGCTCGTCCAGGAACAACTGGGCCAGGACCTTCTGGAGGCCATCGTAAACCAATGCTGAGCCGAGCGAAGACGGCGACACCGCACGAGACCTTGCCCGTCTCTGGGTTCAAGAGCGAGGGGCCGAACAGGGCGTGGAAACCGAGCGAGCGTGCCGAGGCCGTCGCTTGTCCCAAGAAGGAAACACTGATGCCTATCTCCTGGGCGCACACAATCACCGCCGAAGTCTCTCGTAACCTTCGCCGAAGTGTCTTCCAACAAGAACCGTTGAAAGTCTCAATAGAAAACGGGTCCCCTCTGGCTACCTTGGGGCCTCCACGCAGAGGTGGCACAGGTACTCCAGCAGAGGACAACGGAATGCCTGACAAGAGGGGCGCACGGCAGCGGTGAAGGGCGTCACCCGCACCGCTGCTTCTTCGCCCTGATACCGAACTGCTTGAGTAGGTCCGCGACCTCCCTCCCGTGGTCGGGGCCCTCCTTCCGCGCCGCGGCGATGACCTGCTGCACCTTCTCATCGGAGAGCTCCTCCATGTCCACGTCGTCATCACCAGCACTGACCTCGGCCGCTTCGGGAGCAGCTCCTGGTACCGCACCATGTCCACCACCAGGAACCCGAGGAGCGGCCTGCTGCTGGTCACGCGCCGCTGCCGCCTTGGCCGCATAGAGCTCCTTGAACTTGGCGAACTCGGGCGAGGCCAGCATCGTCTTGACCCCATCCGCCTCAGGGCCCTCGAGCACGCTCGGGTCAAGCTCCAGGTCGACCTCCACCTGCTGCTCGGGGGCCGAGGGCGCCACCTGCTGCATCGCCGCCTGCAGCTCGATCTTGAGTGCACCGATGTCCACGCGCAGGCTGCGTTGTCGGTCGTTGAGCTCCGCCAACGTCCGCTGCGCCTGCTCCACAACCTTATTCTGCTCCGCAATTGACTTGTCGAGAGCCTCGAACTTCTTCTGCTTGTCCGCCAGCTTGTGGCCCAACGTGGTGGCACGGGACAACACTGGCTTCTTGGACTGCACCTCCGCTCGCGCCGCCTTGAGCTCACTCTCCACGATCTCAATGGCAGACGCTGGTACTCCATCGCACTTACGAAGAGCTTGCAAGGACTCCTCCAAGTGCTGCACTCTAACACGTAGCTTGTCGTCATCCGAAGGCGGTGCGTCTTGAGATTCGGCGCCACCACCTCCAGCCTGGGCCGAGCCGCCGCCTCCACCTCCGTTGGCCGCGACACCCGCGGGAGGGGACGACTTGGCGGCGACCTTCTCCATGATGCGCTTCTCCATGGCTGCCAGCTGGCCTGACAGATCGGCTGGGGGGCCCTTGGCCCACGCACCGCGAGGGCCGCGAGGCTGCCCAGGAGGAACGCCAGGAGGAGCACGAGCCGATGAGCCCAGAGAGGCAGCTGCGGTGCGCGCGCGCTCCACACTTGCCCTCGGGGCTGACTGCCCACAGAGGCACCGTATCCGACAAGCGAAATTCTGGTTCCTGCCACAACTTGGACACCCCCAGAAGGGCGATCGG